CTAAGAGGTACCTCAACAACCCAGCCTATTTCTTATATAAAACGCTTCTGCGCCAGAGCTATCGGCGGCTCGGCCGCCAGCGGCCGGGCGGTAGTGGGGGAACAGAAGGCGTCGTCTCGGAAATCGGCCCGAAATGTGCAACTAATTCCGAGCGCTGTATTAAAGTATTGGATGGCACTTTTTTAAATTGATAACTTAATTATTTTATGAGAATTTATTAATTTATTATATATTTAGTTAACTTGCGCCCGTATTTTCGTTTTGACTATTAATACAACTCTAAAAACAGGGTACCTTCTTAATTTACGGCAAAATTTGCGGCTAAACAAATGCACAAGTTGTGCAAACATAATATAATTTTCACTTAAAAGTCGGAATTAGACGTGTCCGTAATTGTTATTTGTGGCTTGATGGCCAACGAGAAACGTGAACGATTATTTTAATTTCAATAAGTTTTCACGCAACTTTTTATTTTAATAACAGTGTAAATTAGACACTGAGAGAAAAGAATAATTGCAGTAACCGTAATTTATAATGTTTTTTGGCGCCTACCATATATTTTTGTAGGTAGTCTAACTATATGGTTGGTTATATGATTGGCAGTACTATACTTAGGGTTATTATTCCCAACATTATAGTAACAATTCCTATAAAAGTGAGTGTTCTAACTATAATTATAGTCTCAGATATCACACATTTTTTTCTCAGTAAACGTATGATTAATTCTCAAAATAAAATCTTTCTAAAATATTTTTAAAGAATGCGCAGTCTATCTTCTAATTATAATCAATAAAAATTACACGCAGAAATATTGTATTATTATTCATAAATATAAATAAATTATTTTCTTTCCAACTCTCTTTCAGACGAGAAAAATAAGCTTCCTACAATTGTATGTTTTCCCGATCCTCATTACAATGTGCGATGAAACTTGGCAGGTTTACTTTGTATCACGACAAAAGAGCGTCGAGTCCCGATAATAGAATATACATGGAGTACTTACCTTTGCAGCCAACCGCCGACAAACCGTAGTGGTCCACCTCACAGTGGTCGCATCGAAAGCCGATGACACCCGATGCGCACCTGCATACACCGCTTACAGGATCGCAGAGTCCGTTGATGGCACCCACGTCGCAGTCGCATTCTTGACAACCTGCGGTCACGTTCCCGTATCCCTCGATACAGGAGGAACAGTCACGACCGGTGAACAAAGATCCGCAGGGACACTGACCGGTCGTCGGTTCGCATTGGATTGCATTGCTACCGAGAGGAGAGCAGTTGCATGCTGAAATGTAAACAAAAATTCAAATTAGATTTATAATAATTAATATTCAAATTTGTTATTAGAGAAACAAAAAAGATTATAATATTTTCTAGTGAACTTAACATCTAAATTTTATCTTTTATATTAAAGAGCCAATGATTATTAACAACAAAATACTAAAGTCTACAGATTCTTGAATTTTCATAACATGTGATTCACATTGTAATACATATATGCACCGTTGTAAAGTATAAAACATGTATGTATAATTCCTTGTGTACTCACGCGTGCAATTCTGTTCCAGAGGATTTCCAAAATGCGCTTCTTTGCATCTTTCACACTTCCAACCTTCGGTATTGCCGCGACATTCAAGACAGCGACCCGTTTCCTGATCGCAGGCACCGCCGTTGCAAGAACATCGCTGGCACGTGCCACCAAGTGTCAGAGGATTGCCGTAGAAGCCTATATCACAACTTTTGACCAAGAGAAATTGAAATTAAAGCTTTTCGATTCATTAACATCTTACTAATAATTGTTAATTAAATTACATTTATCTATTTACATTTATTATTTATTACTATATTTATTTACTATATTTTGAAAAACTACAACTAGTTTAAAAAAAAAATTGTTATAATCAGTACTGTGTTATTTTTTAAAATTATGTCTTTTTTTTTAAGATTTAAGATTCGAGTAATTTAATTAAAGCAAATTAAAAGCGAATTAATGTTCAATGCAGTAGCTGTGTTTCAAAACTTTAAAAATCTTTATTCAGCATATATCTTCTCTTTACCTTTCGCAATGATCTCCTGTGTATCCTTCGGGACATTGCGTACACACATATCCGCTGCTAATATCAATAGGATCATCAAGCTGACAACTCGGACTGAAGTTATTGGAGTCGACTGAAAGTGGACAAGCGCATTTTTTACAATCTTCACTGGTGCCTCTCGTTGCAATACCATAATATCCCGTATTGCAGCGATCGCACTTTGGGCCGACTGTGTGATGTTCGCAAGTCTAGAAATTATACAAACAATACACCACAAAATTAGAACATTAAGCATTAAAAATGTTTGGTAAATTGACAGCAACATTTAATCAAATATAGTCAATCTGCCACCTTTACTGTAATATTTGTTGCGCTCTCTATTGGTACAATGCAAGTATTAACAGGTAAGTAAAGATTTTTTAGAATGTTGAGTCGATAAAATAGTTTGAGATCCTTATAATCTGCAATCGCATACTAAGTATTCTGCTATATCGGCTGAAGATAACTTTAGAAAGATAATAAGATTTATTTTCTTTCAAAATTTATGTCCGTGCTAAAGCCAAGTTATACATTAGAACAGATTTTTATCATAAAAAATTTTACTTATAATACTTTCTGTTTTAATATAAATTAATCTATTTAAAATACTAGAAAATAATTTACACTTATTGTAACCATTTTCTCATAAAGCTATTACCTACATTGATTAATATTTTATTTATAATATTTATAATATTTATAATATTTCAATATTTTAATTGTGGATAACAAAATAATCAAGTAAATATTTCTTTCACATATTATGTAATATTTTTGTTTTAATTTTAAAAATTATGATAAATTGATCATACCTTACATTCACCCATCACGAGATCGCAGGAGCCCGCATGGCCGTTACAATCGCATTTCACGCATATATGATGATCCTGATGATTGGAACCGTTAGCGGCTATCTTCACGTATCCCCAAGCGCATTTTTCGCAGGATGTTCCCGTATATCCCTCGGGACACTCGCACAATTCGACTAGATTGTCCGTTTCGCCATTCGATGATAATTCGCTCACCGTCAATATGGCAGATTGAAGACTAGAAATAAATAAAACTTACTTTATTTCATAAAATTAAAATTTTTTTTCAAACTGTATGTTAGAAAAAAATTTACGTACCTTCCTTCGATTTGCTCCGAATGATATCGCGCTCTTATCAGCAGGTACTTGAGATCAGCAAGAACGCGCATCATTTGCGACCTCGTCACAGGATCACCGCGAAACTCTGTCCTTCTCAATCTAACCGCGATGTCTCGAATTTCGCTCCTTATGTGATACCAGCCGTGTTCTCGTAGAGGCACCACGATTTCAGCTTCTTGGCCATTGTACTGTTCTTCGCCATACGCTATGCGCATTCCATTGTTACCCTTAGTAAGAGATAAATTAGATATCATTATACACATTTATTTTCTGCTGTTGAATCAATGTACAGAAATGTGCCAAGATATTTACAACTAAGATGATGTTGGGTTCCGTGGTCGGTTTGCCACTGGTGTCGCCTCGCATGACAACCCACGTAACGGAGAATGTGAGATTGCTGCCGTACGAGGATACGCGATTCCCCGTGTAGATCTGTGGCGCCAACCAGAAAGGGCTGTCGTACTCGACCTCGAATGCCGCCACGGTTAACCATCCGCTGTCCGTGTCCACAGTGGGAACGATTGCTCGAGATGCGTTCACGTCGGTCACTAACCAGTCCTCCAGCGTAGAAATCTGAGATCAAAATAAGTCACATGATTTATCGTTATTTCTACATATATATTTATTCTGTTACTTTTATTTTAATTTGTCGAACCGCAGTAAATTTTTTAATATAAGTTAAACACATGATTAACGGTTATTCATGCAGATATTAATATAAATTTAATTGAAAATAGTAATCTTGTTTTGTTTTTAATTTAATATATTTTATTAAATTTGCAAGAATTAATATTATATTATAATATTAATAAAATATATTTTGTTAGTGATTAAATTTGTTTTGATTTGAAGTTACGCGTCAATAAGTCTTATGCTTATTACAGCATAGTTTACGTTTTTGCTCGTTCCACTTCAACGCTATTACCGTCAACGTAATTGCGGGTCTGCGTCAACGTAATTGCGGGACCGATAAACTATAATTGTCCCTTTATCCAATTTATCGCGCGACAAGGACGTCGCCTAAGACTAACGTCATAGAACGAACATGCCCGCAGGAAAACGTCAATGTTCCAATCAGGTTGCACCTGTCAACCACGCGTGACAAACGAGGTTTTCCTTCATAAATGAGGATAAATCTTTTCCAATATAGATAGAATTACTTAAGACTAACTGGCAACAAAATGTCTCAATAAGCGATAAATGATTGTAAAATAATTTTACTGTATCCTTCTTTATAATAATTATTCAATTTTTATAACTTCGTTAATTCAATTTTAAAATTAGATACATAACACAATTCACAAATAAATTACAATAAACAATAATAAGAAAATTACGCAAAAAAAAGATTGAAACAGATTGCAAAAGCTTTAAATACAAACAACAGAATTAAAAATCCAGCATTACAAAAATTTTCGAATTTTAACAAAACTGTCACATGTTAAAAAAGCTTTTTTTCTATATATAAAAAAAAAGTTTACCATGCTGTACGATAATCTTGCAGTGGTGCAGCTATTCGTCGTGCCGAAGCAATAGCACGGCAAACATCCATCTAGATTGTCCTTCGTGAGCGCGAAGTATCCCGGTTTGCATCGATCGCAGAAATCCCCAGCGACGTTCGCCTTGCACAAACAATCGCCCTCGCAATCGTGGGATGGTAGAATCCCGCGGGAATCGCAGGGACACGGCATGCAATCGGGAAACTGTCGATAACCGGCGGCACACTGGTCACACTTGTATCCTGAATATCCGGGCTTGCATTCGCAGGCACCTGCTACCTAAATCATCATTTAAACCGATCGATTAGAAGATCGATCGTGAGAACGGCCTCACCGTAGCCGATCACGGAAATCACCGGGACGGATAATCGATGCGCGCGTAAATCATGCTCGCGCAAGCGATTATCACGCGCGGCCGATGGAGATCCGAGATTTAGCGAAAGTAGCAGCGGTAAATTTATGTTGAACGATAAGAAAATAAATGATGCTTAAAATGTTTTTACGTCTTGAAGATTTTTTCGTTTATTCAAAAGATGGAATGTTAATAAGAAGAATAATATACCTCAAAATAAATATATTGATATTAAAGGCATTCAAAATTGAAATGAGAGAATTTTTAGTTTAATTATCAATCTTAAATAGATAAATAAAAGAGGGGTGTTTTTATTTATAAGATTTATGGTATTAAGAGTAATTCTAAAAATTCATATTATTGATGAAATAATTTGAATAAAAAAATAAAAAAAGAAGCAAACGCTTTTACAGAAGGAGAAATTTTATTTTCACAAATCTGTTTAAAAATTTTTCTTTTTTATTTAGATTTATTTTAGATAAATTATTTATCAGATAATGTTAGTAAAAAACCTCTTACCTTTCCCATGCGAGTGAAGGAATCGTCGGGAGTGCAATAGCCTGTACTACCACGAACGTTACAGTCGCAGGGCAGACAGGGTTCTGACGCATCAGGTGCAATGCCGTTCGGCCTGTAGTAGCCGATCTGACATTTCTCGCAGTTAATACCAGCTGTATGCTCCTGCAATTATTTTGCAACTAATTATTATTCCAGAATGTCGATATATTTTCAATATTTTTACAAGATTTCGTTGTTCCTGTATCTAGTAATTTCAGTACCAAATAGTGAGAATTTTACAGGCAATACTTAAAGTAATTACGGATGTCTTCTTAAAAATGTAGATTAAATACACCTGTATAATTATTTAGATCTATATATTATTATTATAATTAGAATCTGAATTATTTTTACATGTTATAGTTTTCTTAGAAAAATACTAGATTTTAAAAATGAACAGAAGAAAAGAACAATATACAATTAATTTTTATGTAATTATTTTCATAAGTAGAGAAACCATTATTCCAAGGCACATGCGATAATTGGAAGACGTATTCAAAATAAATAATTCATGCTTCATTTCATTTGTCATTATCTTACCGTACAATTGACGCACACGCCACCGCCTCTGTATTTCCCACGAATATCCATGGACATTCTTCTCTCGGCCATTTCCTGATCGTATATGCAGGACGTTGCATGTCCATTGCAGTTGCACCTCTCGCAGTGAAAGCCCTTGCCAGCTGTGCCAGGCTTCCACGGGATCTGATTGTACATGGGGCAGCATTTTTCGCATCTTTCGCCGCACGTGTGGCGCTCGCATTCGCATTCCTGATGCTGAAGGATAACAAGGAATACGCTTATCAGATGCCGCAAAAGGTCCGTACTCTTGAATCGCGTGTATGTTAAATCGTACGGCAAATGTGCGTAATCTAGTGCGGATAAAACCACATGAAGAGACATTTGCCAGATGCGCTACAAAAATTTTGTAAAATTTTATTCATTTTTGAAAAAAAAATTTTTGAACATTTTCTTAGCAGAATAACTTAATATTTATATTATTGCTTTTTAAATTCTGTATAATTTTTACTCTGCAATACAACTTGTCTTCTTAAGTTTTAATATTGTGTTTATTTTTTATTAATGTTATTAACAAATTTGGAGAAACAATTTAATTATTAGTAATAAACATAATTAATTCTACTATTAATAATTTTAGTGTATTATTCACATCTAATATAAATATATATTTTACGATACGTAACAATTGCAATCGCAGTATATTTATATATTTAAGCAAGCTTCAGCTAATTCATAAAATCTTCTTCTTGAAATCCTTAAAAACTAAAAATTTAACGCAGCAATTGTAGGAGCGCGTTTTCCGTTAGCCAGAAATTTCAATAAGTGTTATATATATTCTTCTTTCGATTGTAAATAGATCAATTGTAACCATCGAACGGAACTCAAGGTTTGATTCGGGCAAAAATAAACAAGTAAAATTTGGTAGACGAGCGAGAGTCCGGAAAGTCATCGCGGTTACATGATACATTTATCGAAATATTATATCTTTATTATATTAATTAATCGTTATTTCTTTCTTTTCTCAATTAAATACTGTAACAAAAACTCTCAAATTATTATTTCCAATCGATTCACATCATATCAATTCTACACAATTGTATTTTTTCCCACAGTTCTTTAAATAAAAATATATATGATAATAAAATATATATATATATATATATATATATATATATATATATATAATAATAATAATAATAAT